CAACCCAAACCATTCCATGGTTTTATGATTTGAATTAAAAACCTGTGGGTGTTCAGACATTATTTTCATTGGGAACTGAGGGAGTGTTTCAGACTTGGGATTTCAGACTTTGCTTCATTGGTGAAGGCAAATTTAAGTACAGCTTCAGATTGGGACTGTATTTGGTTGCAGTTGAACCCTCAATAACCGTTGTTAGTGGGGTGTAAGTAAGAAATGTTTTATTTGAGATAGGATGGTGTTTTTCTTGCAGTGTAGAAATGGATTGGGATTCACTTCGAAAGCTTGCGTTGAAATACACTGTGAAGTGCTCTCATTCAAATTCCTTACGCTTTGTTATTTTTTTTTTTCCCCCTCCAGTGCCATCCATTCCCTTGGATGTTATTTCAGCATCCAACTCCTCATCCCAACTGATCGTAAAGTGGAATCCTCCCTCGCTTCCCAATGGGAACCTCTCTTACTACATCGTACGATGGCAGCAGCAACCTCAGGACAGTTACCTTTACAGGCACAATTACTGCTCCAAAGGTAGGGAAATGAAACGCGGTGGTGTTGACGTGCAGGTGACTGACCAGCCAGTGCACTGCCTCTGAGAGCCAAAGCCTGTGCCCTGCTCCACATCTCTCCTGGGAATACTAGCGAGGGGAAGGGAAATGGGCAAACAGGGATTGCTGCTGTGTTCGTGGTGTGGAGAGAGGAGGAACAAGCCGCCTCTGTTCTGTTCTTTTAAGATAAAGTCCCAATTCGAAGGTACGCTGATGGGACCATTGATACAGAAGAAGCTACTGAACCCACCAAGCCAGAGGGCTGCGGAGGAGAAAAAGGACCTTGTTGTGCTTGTCCCAAGACAGAGGCAGAAAAGCAAGCTGAGAAGGAGGAAGCAGAGTACCGGAAAGTCTTTGAGAACTTCCTTCACAACTCCATCTTTGTCCCCAGGTAATGGATTTTGGACACTTATCTCTTTGCAGGTGGGGCTAAGAATACTATTTTTTCAACATTTCCTAGAGATGAGACTGCCTGAACATGAGAGCATATGTAGATACCTCCTGAAACACACAAATGTTATCTTCCCTTTTACATGAGACAACCCGCAGCCTTACCTTGCAGCTTCTTATTCACTAATTTTCATCTCCTCTCAGTTTTAGCTAATGGTAAGGGTTCTTACCTATATTGTTCAAGGACTTCAGTGATGGTTTCTTTTCAGAGTCAAGAGTCACTTGAGGGGCTCTTTGTAAGGGTTTCAGAGATGAGCAACCAGTGGCAGGCAGAGGGTTCCAGAGGTGATCTTTCTCTAAATAGGCATTTAAGTGCTTGTGTTCCTAACCTGAAGATTTATTTGCCTTTGATATTGAGGGCATAGTCACCTCGCAGAATTGAAACTGGTCTTCCTTTCTCACTGCACTAATTGCAAAGGGCATATTGGTTTCCTGGGTCTGTGCTGCAGGGAGGTATTAAATACGCCCACTCTTCCGTGATAAACACTACTGCTTACACATTAAGTGGAGTAGTAATGATTTTATGCTGCAACATAGAGTAGATACTACTGAATTAATTGGTGATTTTGATCCTGGAGTTTCCAATTTATCCTTCATGTAAGCTGTTCTTTACTTTAGATAATTGGATCCTGGGGCCCAGCACACAGTGTATAGCTGTTCTGTGACAGTCTATAAGCAATCAGGTTTCCATCGTGCCTGTTGTCTCATTGTCTCTGTTGGCAGGTGACGTTTAGAGTTCTCAAACAAAGGACTTCACCATCAAGTGTGACATTGCTGCTCATTACAACTGGTTTATATCACTCTCCATTGTGACTTTCTTTGACCTTTATTCAAGGATGTGTTGGATTGACCTGTTGGTGGTTGGGACTGAGAATTGCGCAGAGCTCCTTAGCTTTATCCAAAAAATGAGGAACTCAATGTTGCCTTTCTTTGGAGGTGCCAGGTGTTTTATCTGCGCTCTGTGTGCGTCACATTTAGCCTGTGTAGTCCAGTGTGCGTGGTGTTTCCCTGCTGACCATGAGGGCCAGCAGCAGAGCTGAGGTACAGAGAAGTAACAGACTGGCCAGGATGTCATTCCTGAGCAGTGTGGAGTCTCGTCAGCGTGATCCGATTTTGGATGTTATGAAAGAGCACAGCAAGGAGTTTTGAAAGATATGTGCCAGGTCTAAACTACTTGAAAGTCTCTTGCAAAGGAATTTTTTTATTTCACCGAAGCTTTGTCATTTCAAATGTGTTATCTTCCAAATTTTCTTGGATCCCTTCCACCCACCCAGCCAAAGGAAACTCACAGAACCTTGAACTCGAGGGTAACAAATAAACTGACCAGTTCACAAAGAATTTCCTGAAAGCTTGTCCGTTTCCCTTTTTCCTTAAGGTAAGGTACTGTCACACAGGTCTGTTGTGTAACAGCAAGGACAGATAAGGCACAAGGCTCAGAAATAGCTGCATAGCTCAGCAACTTTACAGACACTGTGTGTGTGGGAAATTAAAGATTATGAGCTAGTGAGACGTCTCCGTGGGACAAATCTAAGCAGCTCGTTACTTGCTGATGTCTTTTATTTCTTTTTTTTCCCAAGGGGGAAGTTAATTAATGTGTTAATGCAAGCCTCAATAGTAACATTTGTTTCCAGTGTTCTACCTGTCTCCAGGATGTTATGAAAGAGATGCAGCATGTAATACGGTGTGAAAGTATGTGACTGGGTGGTGTTAAGGTTGTTTAAGAAGCCTGTTGATCTAATCGTGTGTACAACTTCTGGATGACCCTATGGGTGTTACTGCAGCGGTGAGGGAGATGTCAAACATTAGGACTCTAGTTAGAAGCGCTCGCAACCACAAGAGGATGAGGAGTTCTTCAAGTTTTTGGTTCCTTGATGAGCAGGATGGGACGGGCTCTGTGTGTGGTAGAAGGTACCCGAGAAGTAACGTGAAAATTGCCATAAAGTGTGAGAACAGTTGGCGTTTGTTCAGTGCCCACACTCTTCCTCCTTTTGCATTTCAATTTAGTTCTTGTAGTATTACGTTTATTTTTTCTCGAGCATTTCTCTTCCTTCCTCTCCTTTAACAGAATAGATGAATGTCCATGTTTTTATCTCTAGATTTTTCTTTACTTCCGTGGGTGCTTGTGTTTTTATTTATCTGTGCCTTTCAAAAAAAACAGGAAGCTGCTTGACTGAAAAGCAGTGGTGTCAAATCTCTTGATGTTCTACTCATGTTTGCCTTGTGGTTATCCTACAGGTCTCTTTCTCTTCTTGATATGACTGTAGTTTTCACCAACAAGTTTTGTGTTGCTTTGTCTCTTTTCCCAAAGGCAAGGTAGGACTGTACTTCCCAAGAGTCAAAACTTCACATGTCCCATAAAAGCAGTGGTAGATAAAGTCATGCCTTTTGGGTGCTTGTACTGGCACGTGGTTTTGTGATTGATTAAAAATTGACTTTATTAATAGTCAATGCTTTTTGTCACAAGATCTTTGTGAATGTTCATCAGTTCAGTGCTAGGCATCCCCTGTGCTTTTAACGGTTCAGAAGTCGGTTCTTCCCACTGAATTAAAGCAGTAAATGAACGCTCATCCTAAGCAAGGTGAGTAGGACTTGTAACTTCCATAAAACGAGTGCAGAGCAGTGTCGAGCTTACGTGTACGGAATTCCCCCGTACCCCACGGACAAGTTAAGACATTCGCTCCTATGTTGTGTCAAACAGTTTCTTGGTAACTGGGGAAGTTTTTTCCTCGTCTTCGTTTATTTCTGTTCTGTGGTTTACATGGCATCTGAGAGTGTCAAAACGACTACTTGAGGCATAGTAAAAGGATTTTGGAAAATTTTGTAGTGAACTCTTTAAAAAAAAAAAAAAATTCATCCAACCTCTGCCAGAGGATTTCAAAACCAAGGCAGCGTGTTTTTGGCTCTCTGTGCAGCATGCTGTTTGTGGCTGAACGTACTGAGACAGTATATTTGACAGTGAATTAACTTCTCCTGTTGAGTCATCTTTCTTCCCCTTGTGTGTTGAGGGAGGCCTTATTTTCCTGGTTTGTAGCTGGCGCCCTGGTAGAAGCATGTTAGCCTTCGTCTTCATCCGTGTTAACTGCTGCGTGACCAGAGCACTGGCTGCCTGGTTTCAGCAGGGGTAGGATTCAAGCCAAAACTGGTTTTGTACTGTGACTCTTCTTACATTGGATCTGATCCAAGACCAAGTGACCAGTCTGATGTGTAGCAGTCGTGTGTCAGTTAGCTAATACCATCCAGATATTCAGGAGTGAATTCATATTGATGCTGGTAATCAGCCCTGTCCACTGTAAGTTTCTCAGACTAGAGAAAGTAGTCATGTTGCTGTAAATCCTCAAGTTTTTAACTCTCCATGAACTTCAAACAGATGGCTGTAAGGCAGAGCAGAGTTGCTCAGTGACCTCCGCTCTGCACCATATTAGTACTGTGTTGTCTCGTTGTTCCTTTGCAGAGCTTTTGTTCAGGTGAGAGCAGTGGAGATACACAAACTCCCACACGACCCTGGTGGTTAACATGCGTGGCCTTGCCACCTTCCAAGGTTTCTTTCCCCAGTGCAGTTCGTTCCAAGTTCTGTCGTTTCATTGCAACTGAAAAGAAAGTTAAGCCTACTGGGAGTTAGCTTTCCTAATCCAGCAAACTTCAAAACAGAGTTTTCCCTAACCTTTTCGGCTTTTAACATCTGATTTTAATTTTGAGCGACAACATTACTGTCATTAAGCACAAGTCTAGGATACCTCCTGAGTAACAGCGGATCCATTTGTGCTGTTTGGTTTGTTGTGTGAGGTCAGGAGTTTGCAGGTTTATGTTGGGGCGCAGAGCTTCAGTTTGGATTGGTTTCTGACCAAAAGAGAGGGTAATAGGACGTGCTGACACGCTGCAGGCTCACGTTAGAGACAGCTTCGGTCTTGTCTTGCAGTTTGCTTTGTTTAGCTTTTTCATAGCAGAGTGAGTTGCTTAACTGGGTCTTTTTGCCCCGTTTTCCTGGAGCCGGAGGAAAAGTGGGTTTTCTTAGAGACCTTTCCTATACCTGTCTTTCTGCTCCACAGACCCGATCGGAAGCGGAGGGACGTCTTCCGAATCGCAAACGCCACTTTGGCCACTCGCAACAGGAACGCGACTGGGACAGATCACTTCACCAACGTTTCTGACGCGGAGGAGAGTGAGGTGGAATACCCGTTCTTTGAGACCAAAGTGGACGGCAAGGAGAGAACCGTCATCTCCCACCTGCAGCCTTTTACTCTGTACCGCATCGATATTCACAGCTGCAACCATGAGGCTGACACGCTTGGCTGTAGCGCTTCCAACTTTGTCTTTGCAAGAACCATGCCTTCAGGTACGCTCCCACAGGTGTAGAGCTTTGGTTTATTTGCTGGGGGACGATCAGGGAGGACAAACTGTCTAGAAACAGTTAGAAAAACATGGAGGCATAATAAAGAAGTGCTATGCAGGGAAATAGAAGGGAGCGATATAAAACTCTGTTAGAGCAGTTCAGCGTCCTTGACGGGTCTCCGGTGTGTACTGAGCGACATGTAGCGCGTCTGTCGTGTCACCTGCAGGAAGGTGGAAGCGTGTGTGTTGACGTAATTAGGAAAGAATCCGTTTCCCAGCGATATAGGTGGGACCCACCGACGTGGCGGGTGGAAAGGTTTTATTCCTCCGTTCCCTGCACGCTGAACGGAGGCAGGGCAATGTTCCTCTGCTGGTGTTTCGTTTTGCTGTCTTCGCGCTGAACTGTGTGCAGATGTTAGAGTTTTGCTGGTGGGAATGTTTGCCAAACGTTTCTTCTGTCCCAGAATGACCATGCGTTTGTCCGGCCTGGAAACAGGGGGAGTACTGTGTCGCTTTGTGCCCCGTCGCCGGCATCTCGAGTACTTCAGGCAGGAAGCACTGAATGCTGTACTCGTGTTTGGGACTTCTACAGATTGTGCTGCTTCTGAGAAGAATAGAGATGATTTTAGTGTAAGCTCATACGCATCCAGCAAAGAGCTTCTGACTCCAGCAGATGTCTGGGAATATTTGCTGCAGAATGGTAGCGATTTTGTTTTGTTTCTGGAAGGAAAGGCTTATCATAATCCAGATCCAGCTGTGTCAGTGAAAAACCAAAATGTATTGCATATTTCAAGGAAATAAGGAAATCTTATGAGGGGAAAAGGAAATAAATGTTCCCAGATTTTTAGCATGTGGCTCTGAAAATTAAAGGCTTAACAATTCTGTTCAAACCTGACAACTGTACTTCTGAGAAAGTGGTCTTTTTTCTTGGAGTGAAATGGTCTTCCTATTCCTGTTAAGTTTATGTGCTTTATCCAGAACATCTCAGGAATGAAAGAGGGATAAAGCAGTTCCCGCGTTGCTGATGAGACTCGGTTTTCAACCGCGACAGATTCCCCGAGACAGGGTGTTCTAGTGGGGCACCCTGGGGTGCGCCTGCCATTGGTGGCCGTTTGGTGGGCAGGGCTGCCTGCTGTGTTTCCGTGCAGTGGGAAATCTGGAAGGAAGAGCCAGGTGCTGCTGACAAACAGGTTTTTTGGCGCACAGGGCCCGAAGACTGTACCACATCCCGTACCTGTCTGCGCAGCGCTGTTTGCCGATGACCAGCAGTGCAGACCACGCTCATCTCTCCAGCGGGCCCCTGCCCAGTGCCCTTTGCCCTCCGGACCTTTCAGTCCCACTTACTGCAACGCTTCCGTTCCTCAAGAGTTGTGCGAACCTTCTAGTTTTCCACGGCTGTTGCGTAAGTTCCTGTTACAGTCATAGGAGTTCTTCTCACATCACCTGTAAATGTTTTACAGAGGGAGCAGATAACATTCCAGGAACGGTAGCGTGGGAAGCAAAAGAAGAAAATACCGTCTACCTGAAGTGGTTAGAGCCTGCAAATCCAAATGGGCTGATACTCATGTATGAAATCAAATACGGGCAGCATGGAGAGGTGAGGACTTGACCTTTCTCTGTTAACAGTGACTGCTTGTAGCTCTAATTTATCCACAAAATGGGATCTTTCATCACCTGCTTCTGTGCCGCGCTGCAGACCAAAGGTAGAGATTGGGATTTCGAGCACCCAGCACCAGCCAGCGTGCCATCCCTTTGCTTTGTTCATTGTGACAGTTCTTGAATTGCACGTATGTCCTTAAGAAAAACTGATCAGATGGGGCTTTTAGTTATAAAAATCAGCTTACCCTGCAGCTACATTATTTTCTCAAGACCAAAGGAATGCGAAGATGTTAACACAAACTGTAAATTGCTTTTTTTTCTTTTTTTTAGGAGAAGCGGGAGTGTGTTTCCAGACAGGAATACAAGAAGCTGGGAGGAGCTAAACTAACTCATCTGAACCCTGGAAACTATTCTGCTAGAGTTCAGGCCACTTCGTTAGCTGGAAACGGGTCGTGGACTGAGCCAGTCTCTTTCTATGTGCAGCCCAAATGTAAGATCAGTTTGTTGGCTGTCTCAGACTGGGAAACTATTGTCTTTTTAATAATTCCTGATGTTTACTTATGTAACTGGGTGTATGAGCCTCTTGCCTGTGCTCTGAGTACTCTTACTCGCTGATGCTTCTTTGGGAATTCTTGTGTTCTATTTTTTTGGCAAGTGATGTCAGCCAGGAGGTATATCTGGGGTGTGGCCCCTTTCCTGTGTGCCTTGTACGAGTACGGGAGGTGCAACCGGGCGGGAGCGTGTAGGACACAGTACTGTGGCTTCCTGTGGTACACAGCTATGTCGGGAACGTACTGTTAGCTGTCAGAACATGGCGTTGGATTGCACAAAACCTGTGGCAGTACTGGAAACCCGCTTTAAATTGTGGAGTAATACAAGAAACAAGTAATTGTATAGATTTTTGGCTGGCAGTTGGGGTTTTTTTTTAAATCTCAAGATGCTTTTTCATATGACCTGTTCCGAGTGGTGTCTGATGAAGATAGCATCCTGATGAGAGAGTGATGCCGGTCCTGACAACGGGAGTAATTTATATTTTGGAAGAACACCGCCGGGGTCCACAGAGATGCCCTCAGAGCGGATATATCCGCAGGAAACGGGAACTCCACCTTTTATTCCTTTCGCTTTGTTTTGTTTTCTAATTGCTGGACTTTAAAGAACCTGGTCAAGAGCAGAGTGTGCTCAGAATAGAAGTATAAGCAATTGCAAGGTGAACAAAAGGGGGCGGGGGGAAGTGAATATGCAAGTGAACAATTACATATTGTTCACTGAGGAATGGAAGTCCTTAAGCGTAACTTGTGAAAACAAACCCCAGACAGACGCTGTTCTGTACCAAATTAATGCTTTTCACTGTCTGTTTTCTTGTTCCACTCATCTGCAGTCAGGGAGTGTTTCTGAGTACACTTTTCCACATCAGACAAGAAAATGAGTACTTTGATTTCTTCCCTGCATGGAAATATACTGAGTGGGTTTTGAATGTTTCTTTGTTAATGGAGATTTTATAGAAACCCTGATACAATTGTTTTCTTGTTGGTTGCAGCAGCAAACTATGGAAACTTCCTGCACTTGGTAATTGTGCTCCCTATTGCCTTCCTGCTCATCATTGGGGGATTACTGATAATGCTGTATATCTTCAACAAAAAGAGGTGAGTTGTGTGTGCTGGGGGTTGAACTGTGGGACTGGAAGGTTTATATTCAAATCTGTGCCCATGGAGCGAGTTAGAAATTAAAAAGGGAGATGGCATTCGGAGGACGCGACGCTGAAGTCGATTCTGCTTTGTTGGTGTGTAAAAGGAGGGGGTTTAGAGTTACCAGCCAGCATCTGGCTGCTGCTTGAGATATGAAGAGGCTTTTTATTACAGTATCATGTTTAAGAGGGAAGAGGAAGGCTTGTCAGGAACATGCCCACTGGGACAAGGATGGCAGACACTGAACCTATATAATCAGGAGATTTGACTGAACTGTGGGTCAATATAAATCATGAAAACTTAGTTCTATTGAGGTTAATTTGGTTTCTGGCAAAATCTAGGGGTTTTTTTTGAAGTCTTTACATCCACTTAATAATCACATCCTGGACAGAGCAGTCTAGGGGGCTGTTCTATTGATTTGTTACCCTCAGTTATGTTTTTTGTAACTAGCCATTTTTGTTTAATTGAAATACATGATGAGAACTTAATAGAAGTCAGTGCAAGTGTTCAGCCTTGTGACTTTCCAGGTATGAAGGTGTTTTATTACACTTACGGAGTATCCCATTATTTCCAGCTCTAATTCATTTCTGTGCAGTGGTACCAATTCGCAAGCACTCCAGGAGGGGCTTTCTATCTAGTGAAGTCCAATACCTGCTTGGCCTTCCCTTGGGCTCTCCTAGGTGAAATGCCTCACAACTCATCCTTCCTTAAAACACAAGAATGTTTTAGTTTTGATTTTTCTGAGGTCTGATTGATAATTTTATTTCTGTAGCCTCCCTCCTGCAAGAGTTCTGACAGTGCTGAATAAATATGTCTTATTCTGAAAATCACCCCAGTAAAATTGGGGGGGGGTGGGGTGGGGTGGCAGCAGCGTGTGTGTATTTTTTAAAAATAAAATAGTACAAACACTTACGAGATGGTTGAATGGAATCCCCTATTAAAACCAATCTTGTCCTTTAAATCACTCCTCTCCCACAGTAGGGGCAGATGATGTTACAGTGTGTTCACAGCCACAGGTCTCCTGGGCGTATCACCACGTCGCTGCCTTTCGTACCGTTTACCCAGCCGCTACAAGTACCTTGTGTTCATGCTTTCCTGGTGCTGGTTTGGTACGCAGAAGGCTGCAGGTTTCCTGGGAAAGCTGTTCTGGGCTGTTTTCCTATTCATTCTGTGAGGAAGGAGAACAACTTGGTTTATCCCCTTTATCTGAAAAAGCTCCCCATGTACAGCAAACGGTGGAAAAGCTGTAGTCCAGGGGGTCTGAAATGTACTTAGGTGTAAAGATTAAAAAGAGTATTTCAACAGGAACAGTGACAGACTGGGCAATGGAGTGCTTTACGCTTCTGTGAACCCCGAGTACTTCAGTGCTTCAGATGGTAAGTGTGGCCTTACACTTGTGCTGTTTTTCCTTTCATACCTTCTGTCTGATATTGAGAGGTTTGAAACTCTACGAGAGATGCTGTAAAACAGCTTTCTCTCTTCGTTTTACTAGCACAGCCGTGGAATCCATCATTGAGAATACATAAATGTCACCTCTCTGTTGAAACTGGGATGGTTTTTAAATTTTTCCCGTAGTTTACTCAGCAGAGGCAAATTTGGATGCATGAGTTTCACTTTTGGATTATCATTTACTCTCGTACCCGGTGATCTTTTCACTAGAATGAAGGAAGAATTCATGAATTCATCATGTTTGCCTTTTTAAGCCCAATCCCCTGCTTGTTTCTGGGCACTTGTCACATGGAAAATAGTAACACTTCCAAAAGCCAGCACTGTCTCCTCACTTCCCATCCCAATCAAACTCTCCAACCACTTTTCACACTTAGAGGAAAGCAATGCTGTGGGCTTCCATACATACCACCTGCAGAAATTGTGTTAAAACGAGGACGCATGTGTCGTAATTCGTACTTCACTTAGTGTCTGGGGGGTAGACGAGCCTGCTTTTCTCTGGCTGATAAGGCAGTTTTTTAAAGCTATTTCAAACTGACCTGATGAGGTGTGTAGCGGGTGCTGGCAGTATGTAGAGGTGTTAGGCTGTGGCAGTGTTTAGATCCCAGCTGGTATATTTGTGCCGAGTGCTTTGCTAACAGAGTGAAATAACTGTGTTTCTAAAGTCAGGTGTGTTGTTTTGGGGGATATCTTTAATTTCTTTCAATTTTCTGTGGGAGACACAATGTGGATAATGCTCAAGTGTTTAAAACCATTCAGGAAATAAAAATTCTTGGAAACCAAGTTGCTGTTCTTAAAACAGCGTGGCTTTTTTGGTGAGCTCTATGTATGCCTGTATTATTTTCCTGTACTTCACTATCGCAGCGGGTTGTGCCTGCTAATGGTGTAGGTGAACTTCTTGCCAGTTCTTGTGCCGGCTGCCCCTGCGCCGCAGCGGGAGCTGAATGAGCCTGGCAAGCCAGGGATCCTCAGTTCTGCATGCCCAGAAAGCCCAAGTGCTGCAGTTGCTGTGGGATGGAGAACCCTAGAAATTCAGCTTTCTGGCTAAATTGTGTGCTTTACAAAATAATAAAATGCAAAAAGAAGCTGTGTTCCTACTGGAGCCCCACTTACTAGGTAATTAATTTCACACACACATAGAGATGTGGTGGTCTATAACTGCCCATACCGTACGGGTGACGTACGTGTGGAGGTCTTCAAGCGTAGGAGGAAATCAGAACGTCAGGCAAATTTCCTTGGGGCATCAGTTCTGTTTACAGTGTAGTTTGGTGCTACTGCTGTAGACTTCCTGCCAGAGTAGTGTTTCCCAAAGCCCCCAGGAGGCTCATGGGTTTAGCCAGAGCGGCAGTGGACCATTTTACTGTTATTTTCTATAGCAGCATCATTAGAGTTAAAGGTCTGTCAGTGTTCAAGCTATAATCCTCTATTTTTGCATCCTGTCATTTCACCCATCCGGAGCATGGGACGCAACTGTCCCCTCCTTTGATGAGTGATAGGCAGCAGCATCAGTGACTGCTCAGATGTCTTCTTGCCTGAGGCAGTCCTCACTCCTAGCAGTCGCCTTCTGAGCTCTCTCTCCTGCCTGAGATCAAACGTACCCTTCTGAGATCTCTCTTCTGCCTCGGCAGCACGTTCTGCAGCTCTGGTGCAGCAGCGTGTGTGCCAGTGACCAGAATCGGTCCATGCAGAGAGCCAACTAGATCAGAGAGTCTGGCTCTTCTCATGGAGAATACAGCAGGCACTGAACGGATACAGGTGATCAAGTATGTTTGATGCTGTCTGGAAGAATCGGAAAACCAAGGATCCCAAGAAAAGCTCAAGACTAAAGGATTGATTCAAGCCTCTTCCCACCCTGTTTTTGTGCTCTGAGGTTCCTTATTTCTGTCCTGTTAGGTCAGTACCGCAGTGAGGCCACTTCACGTCCATCTACATGTTTTCTTTACGACTTAGTTGTATACCAAGCAGGTACCTGTCTCTGGGGGAAAGGCTGGCGACTGTTTGCAAGGTCACCGCGTTGTCTCTGGTGTTTCCTCCAGTGAAACTGTTCGGGCAGTCGATACTGTAAAGCGGTGAGTGATGGCAGCGCTTGCAGAAGTGGAGGGTCACGGCCTGTTCTTTCTCTCGGTAGTGTATGTTCCAGACGAATGGGAGGTGCCCCGTGAGAAGATCACCATGTGTCGGGAGCTTGGGCAAGGCTCCTTCGGAATGGTGTACGAGGGAATAGCCAAGGGAGTGGTGAAGGATGAGCCGGAGACCAGGGTGGCCATCAAGACTGTCAATGAGTCCGCAAGCATGCGTGAGAGGATCGAGTTCTTAAACGAGGCCTCGGTGATGAAGGAGTTCAATTGTCACCATGTGGTAAGTCATGAACGTGTGACAAGGCTGCAATTCGTACAGCTGGGGTGCTTATTGGCAGGAGGTGGTGCAGGTTGTTCACTGACTGAAGCACGAACTTGGGGTTTTAGCTTCAACTCTGAGCAGCTTTGTAACGTTTTGCCGCAACAGGAGCCAGTGGGTGGAACCAAATTACTTTCAGACCTTTCCCGCAGGTTCACGGGTGTTTGATATCAACATGAACAAACGATTGCTACAGTTCAATTAGCTGTATTGGTAACTGGATGTTTATTTTACCTCTTCCAGGTTCGGCTGCTTGGTGTTGTTTCTCAGGGCCAGCCTACGCTGGTTATCATGGAGCTGATGACACGTGGGGACCTCAAAAGTTACCTGAGATCATTGAGGCCAGACACAGAGGTGAGTCATCAATTGCTGGATGTTTTTCTTAGTTCTTCAGTTAGAATCATCTTGAACGAAAGAGCGTCACGTTGGAAGCAGCAGGCAATTAGCCTTCCTTGCCCTTCTTAAACTCTAAGGACAAAGCATGAGCTGGTCTGTGATCTGCAACACCTTTTTTCATGAGGTAGCTATTGCAAATACCCGGTGTACTGCACGGAGTAGGTCCCTTCTTGTGTTACTGAGTCCTAATTCCCAGATTTGAATTAAATCTCTTGTCTAATCTAATTTCTCCTCAAGATGTTAAACAAAAGAATGGCTAGTGGAAGCATGCATCTTGGGATAATTTTTTTCATGTTCTATATCCTGCCCGTTGCCTCTGCTGGAAAGTAAAAATCTAGTGTTTTAGCCAATATGCACAGTTTTGGGCCTCTCAAGAAAGACATGGAGTTGCTGGAGCGTGTCCAGAGAAGGGCAGTGGAGCTGGGGAAGGGTCTGTAGCCCAAATCCTGTGAGGAGCAGCTGGGGGAGCAGGGGGTGTTCAGCCTGGGGAAGAGGAGGCTCAGGGAGAGCCCTTGTTGCTCCCTACAGCTCCCTGAAAGGAGGGCAGGGTTGGTCTTTTCTCCCAAGTGACAAGCGGTAGGACAAGAGGAAACGGTCTCAAATTGCGCTGGGGAAGGTTTAGTTTGGATATTGGGAAGAATTTCTTCACAGAAGGGGTTTTCAGGCATTGGAACAGGCTGCCCAGGGGAGTGGTGGAGTCACCATCCTGGGCAGGGTTTGAGGTATGAGGACGAAGTGTCAGGGACATGGTTTAGTGATGGGCTTGGCAGTGTTGGGTTAACGCCTGGACTTGATGATCTTAAAGGGCTTTTCCAACCTAAAAGATTCTAACAGCTGAAATTGCCACATAGCGATACCGTGTGTGAAGGATAAAGATGACACATAGGTCACCTGCCACTGAAATCATAGTAGACTGTGTGGAGAATGAGCTCAACAGCTTTTGCCCTTGATCTCGAAATTCGGATGTGACTAACATAAAGGAACAGAACACGATCACAGTATGTGCACAAGAGAATGAATGTGGTCCCAATGGAGGGCGTTGCATGTAGCAGGAGCAGATTGCTGAAGTGATTGGATACAGAAAATAGTTATGCTCAGTGTAGGATTCACAAGACACCAGTAGGACTGTGAACTAAGGGCTGGACTAGCATTTATGGTTAATAACATTTCTGGTTATTAAATAGTCTTGGTTGAATTAGACCAACTTCATCAAAAGGGAGGGTGGCACTATATAGAAATTACCAAAATGGTGAGCTCTGTCGTCTGCTGGTGCCCTCCAAAGCCATCTGTGATAGACCTCAGTTCCCTGTCTTGTTGGCGTGCAGTGTGAAGGGTTGAGTGAAGTCTTCTGAGGACATGTATGAGAAGAAAGGCAGGACGCTTCGGTAAGGGGTGGATGGAGGGCTTGCTGGATCACTGTCGTCTTTAGCAATTATTTAACCATGCAGCTCCCATACTGATCTCTTCATCCGCGGGATTTAACTCACATTGTTCCATCTGGGCTTCCTTGGTTGTATCTTCCTGGCTCCCTTAGGGTATGTTGCATTCAGCTCTTGGAAGCCTGGAAGTGGTGGGTATGGCTCATTATCTCGAGACCAAGTAGCACAGTTTGAAAGTTAGGGTGGGACTGGACATGAACACTTTCCATGGAAGGTGGGTAAGGAACCATTTAACCTCTGGGTGTGGGGATGTGATGAGGTCCAGTGACTTGACCTGTGTGCTCTAGGATCTTTGTCATTAGCAGAATTCAGTGTATGAGGCCATGGTTTGGTTACCCAGTCAGTGATGATTATCCAAGGGGTGTAAAGCTTAGGGAAATTCCTGCTCGTGGGGAATAGTGAGGCTAGACATTGTGTATAAATACCTGAACTCCATCCATGAGATTGAGAATTGCAAAGCCAAATATCCATGGATGCAGAGGGGTGAGTTTGCTTCAGAAGAAATTGTCCCTTCTCTCCTGTTTACAAGTAGAAGTAATTCGAGAGACATCTGGTTATGGAGAAGAGGAAGTGAAATCACTTCACGTCTTGTGGTGGTGTGTGAAGATGGTAAATCAGCGGAGATCTCTCAAATAAGCCCTCTGCTTCCTATCTCGGGACTTGTGTGGCAGAAGGATGGACATTTAAACTCCATAGGTGTAAGGCAGCGTCCTTATGCCAAGAAGTCTTTCTGGCTTGTATTCCCTAAAACAGCGGCCTTTTATAAAAGTGTTATTTGGGAGTTCTGTTGGCAGCCCGGCTTGATACGGCCAGTTTTCCCACTGAGCAGGTGCTACGGTGCACGTAATCATGAATTTCTCTGTAGCCTGGATCATGTCAGGCTGAGTTGTGATAATGTGAATTAAATAAAGAATAAATAATTGAAGTATGTTACAGGTTGATGTAGAAACAGTTACTTTTTTCTTTCTCCCTTACCTGTTTTACCGTCTTAATCTTGCCCAGAGTAATCCTGGCCAGGCACCTCCAACTCTGAAGAAGATGATTCAGATGGCAGGAGAGATTGCTGATGGGATGGCATACCTCAACGCCAACAAATTCGTTCACAGAGACCTTGCTGCGAGAAACTGCATGGTGGCAGAAGACTTCACGGTGAAAATCGGAGGTGTGCTTTCTTGACTTGTACACGACTGAGAAACGTCGTCCTGAAAACTCAGCATCTTGGAAGGCAGTTTAATATTTTGAAAGACCTTTAAAACTTAGCTGTAGTTCAGACTTGTGCAGAATGAAGTATGTGCCTTAGGAAGGCTTGCTGTGATTTAAGACCTGTGAGCAGTCAACACTGAGTTGAAACTCTTGGAATACCTCGACTTGCTGTCGTTCCAGTGAGGAAATAGTGCAGTGTGTGGGTTTAAAAAGAGCTAGTGGAGCAATGATGTGAGGTGCAGATGCTGCAGACATCTGGGGGGATGGCGGCGTTACCACTGGTGTGTCATTCCCTGTTCTGTTAATGCGCAAAAACAATTCCACCTCCTGTTTATTGAGTCAAGAATGAGAATTTCAGGATTATTTTAAAGCATATCTGATTTGGAAGTGGCATGTGAGGCTTGACTTCAGCTGGGTGCTTTCCAGTCTGAACTGGAGTTCTGCTTTCCAGACAACAGAATGGCTTTTCTTCTGCTCTGCTGTCGCAACACCACTTTTTTTTTCCCTTCTGCATCCCTCCAAAATAGTGTCAGATGAATTTTTTCAGTCTTCTCTCTAGAGAGGGTGATTTTAAGCTTTTGGCTGTTTTTGAGTTGTGCATATTAAAATAACATGCACAGCAACAGCCTTCTGCTGTAGGAAACTAATTCTTTTTCTCTGAGCCTAACTCAGCTATTTTGATAATTTGTGTAAGTAATCCTGTCATTTGGGAGAAAGAAAAAATGATTTCATTTTGAGTCAGTTAATTAGGAAATAAGATCTTTGGGGGATTTTGTGCATTTTCTGCAGGTTTGGGGGAAGTCAGCCTGAATCCTTCCCATTCCAGTTTTATCACTCCTCCTTCCCCCACCAGCATGTTTTACAGTTCTTTGAACTGAAGCGGGTGCGTTTCTTCTCTTTAACACGGTACCCAGTTACCCCGAAAGCGTTTTGTGAAATATGCTGTGTTGTTCTTATTTATGTGCCAGTACTGCAAATCCCTTGGTGTAGAAACCGTTAGGAGCATCCCGACTGGACCATGCCCACTCGGACGGTTCAGAGCTCAGTGGAGGAGCTTTACGCTGCGCTGTCCTGCGCCCGTCGCCTCTCTGCGTCTTACTTGCTTTACGTTTTTAAAGCATCTTCCGTTCCGCCGGGGTAAAGTCACCCTGGTGTGTGGGCGTGATGGAATCGCTGCGCAGATGGGCCGTTTAGCCATAGTCACTGAGGGTACCGGTGTCCGTAGCAGGCAGGGGATGAGAAGCGGCAGCGGTCGGTCACTCGTCCACACCTGGGGGTAATGACATCCATAGGCTGGTCGTAACGACTGTGAGAGCTGAAGGATTTCTGTCCCCTTTTCCCCCCACTTTTCCCAGGGGGGAAAAAAGTGGTAACTGCAGGTCTCTGTTGAGAAAACAGATTTTGCCCTAGGTCTGCTGTGTTCATAGACAGCATTTAATATTAGTATGAGATTTGATGCCACCTGATGTATCAACTTTTTGGTTAGTGTCTGAAAACGCAGTAACTCCGGTAGATGGGAGAGTCCAAGACCCAGCAGTTGTGTGTGTCAAGCAGATTGTAGAGGGTCAAAAAAAGCTGCAACAAATCCGAGTTCCAGTCAGGAGAGCAGCGTCGTTAGATCCAAGTGTTGCAAGTGCCTACGTGTTTACAGCTAAGGACGTGTATAACCTCAAATATGCCTTTAACAGTGGTCTGTGTTAGTCAGGAGTGAGTAGCCTAATCCTCTGTAGCATTTGAGATGGGAATATTCTACAGGAGCTGGAAATTACCTTTGGAGAGAGGAAAAAACCGAGAAGTGCATTTCCCTCCACATGCGAGATTGTTCAGTTGAAGACACTTGTATTAAGTACTAAAGGAGCTCTTTACGCTCTCTCAAAAGAAAAGAAAATCGTTGAATTCCAAGAACAGATCAGTGAATTATACGACCTTCAGAGGACTTAGCTTGCTGCAAAGCTGGAGCACAAATCCTGGAACTTTCCATATTAATATATTTAAATCAGAGTCACTCTCTGAAGTCAGCGGTACCCACGTCCGTTGGTTTTGCTGGGGGGGAGCGGGTGAAGTGCCTGCAGAGGAACAGAAGGCAGGGTCTTTGCCCCAAACTGTGCTTCTCAGCTGGCTACGATGGCTTGTAGTAAGGGGAGAGATGTTCATCATTTTATCATGCAAACTCAAAACATTTATACCTTCTAGATTTTGGCATGACGAGAGATATCTACGAGACAGATTATTATCGTAAAGGAGGGAAAGGTCTGCTGCCTGTCCGCTGGATGTCCCCGGAATCGCTGAAGGACGGAGTCTTCACAACGCACTCCGATGTCTGGTAACAAAAAAGGGGGCTCTGAAAAACTCTGTTAGCCCCTTTTCTTTCTATCTTTTCCTATTTTAGTAGGCTTAGCTAAGAGTACTGCTGCTCCTGTCTCTTCAGAGTAACTCTTTCCACTGTCAGGCATTCTGCTTTATATTTCCTATTTCCGTTGCAAAATCAAGAGCTCGTGAGGTTAAATTCTGCTCCCTCGGAGAGAGCAGAATTAAATGGATTTCCAAAACTGGAGGTGGTGGCATGTTTCCTGCTGTGGGTTGTAAAATCAGTTGTGCAGTGAAAAACATTACGTTCACCTGGAAGAGTGAGTTGTCGTTTTTCAAATTGCCCTCCTTCAAGAAAAGCATTGGAAGTTGCCAAGAATATAGAAAGGTTCACAGCGCTGACCTGCTTTTCTATCAAAACCTTCTGTGTAAATAACTCCGCTTTCCCGCAGCCGCTCTGTGTACACTAGCAGGTTGTTTCTTGGGAGTTCTCCCCTATGTATATCCTTCTCCGTTTGGAGCTTTGTTTGCTTGGTTTATAGACCGCAAGATGCAGAAATAGGTTTTTCTCTTTAAAAACACATTGCCTGGTTGCCGTAGCTATGAATTTATTAATAGAGGCATTCAGGAAATTTCAAAATGTACTTCTGAGAAGAAATAATACTCTGGCAGAATTCCCCACACACCCCCCCAACTTCTGCAGATAGGTAGGGAGGACTTGGCAGAAGATGAGCGTGTACTGGCAGAACCTCTGCTCTGTCTTTTATGGTTTCGCTGCCTTCCTAACAAGATGTTTTTACTGCTGATCTGTTACAGAACTGGCAGCTGATTTGCCTCCAAATGTCTAGAAGTCAGTAGGAATGGTATTTTAGTAGATAACTGCATTTTCCTTAAGCAGCTGGTGGATGTTGAGGTCAGTGGACTGTTGTCCACTAGCTTTGAGTGAAAGGTTCGTGAGAGGAATTGTGCAGCAAGTGAGAAAGCAAAGCACCAGGATGTTGCTTAAATTTTTTTGCATATGACTAGTAACTTATTTATGAATCCAGTAACCCTCAGACTTGGAAATAGATGAAAATAACCACTTTGAGTTGAAGGGGAAGCCCTGTGTCAGCCATTTATCTAAGGGAGCAGCTCAGGCATGCTTTTGGCAGTCCCCTGCAGTAAAGGAGTTTTGAGACATGTAATGGCTTCACAAAGCAGACAGAAATTTGGAGTCTGTCACTAGAAAATCCCCAGATGTAGAACCGAACGAGCCTGGAGCGAGGAGCTGGCAGACCTGTCCGTTCTTCCCCCACACAGGAACTCCAGCCGCTGTGTGACCAGCCGGCGGGGTGCCCGGCTCCGGTGACGTGCTGCCCTTGTTCATACGCCTTTTCCTTAAACCTCGGACTGATAGGTGACGTTAGTGTTTAACACGACGCCAGGCCCAAACAGAAATACCCCCGCGGATGTGACGCCAAATCACGCGTCAGAAGTAAATTAGTGCCTTGGTTGTTGCAGGGAGCGTGTGCGTTCTCCCTTCAGCCTTAACAAGATTTGGCATCCCTCAGTCACTCGGCAGGAACTGCTTTATGGAGAGGAGGTGCGCAGCTCTCGCCAGCGTTTCAGACGGTTCCTCCTTGGCACGTTTGTCATCTGAAGTGTTGGAAGTGACTGACTGAAATTTGGTTCACATAGGTGAGCCGTTCTGAGGTACAAAAGCCTGGTTCAGCGCGAGGAACACGCTGTTTGTTTAGAACACGTTCGTGTACGTCAGCGGCTGCCACGTGTCCGCAGCCATAGGTTCAGAAATGCCAATCTGAATTCCAAACGTAGTGGAGCTTGACTTACCCCTGTCATGAAATCCTGTCTGTGTACTTGACCTGCTTACGGCTGAAAGGATCGTTCCGGTTTTCTTCTGAATAGCTTGGAGAGCAAACACTGCACAGCGAAGGTCTCTTCGTGCCAGGAAAAATTACCTGGCTCCATGTATTGGTTCATACTTTGAAGTTGCTTCACGTAAACGTGTCGCTTGACTGTTGGGGGGCTGTTTATTTTCATCATTGAGCTTTTTTTCCCTGTCTTTCTGGTAGGGTATTGTGACATCTGGTTCTGTGTTCTTCGAGATAAGTTTTAGAAGCCAAAATGTCAAAAAGACAAAACTGTGCAAGTGGTCAGAGTCCAAGATTTATAAGCTGTAAGGTGAAATGGCAAACTGCAGAAAGTGTCTGGAGGTTTTGAAGGGTGGAGCTTTATTTTAGCAATTCTTTTATTGCTTTTCAGACTGAAGAATGAGGTAATTAGACAAGACTGTTTTTGTTGTAGTTAGGGAAGGAGAACATTTTAAAATTAATGTAATAGTCTTCGGGGTGAGGGTGTGTTTCTATAAATAAGTCTTGAGCATCTTGCATTCTTTCAGGGCTGGTAGTTGCCTTGAAGGAGCAATGTAAGTTTATTTGTTATGGTAATACGACTGGCAGGTGTGCAAGGCTTGTTCTCATTATACCCGCAGTGATCAAAGTAGCTTCAAAGGCACCAAAATGTTGAGCTGACCCTCTGTCCCTGCCTCCCCTGAAAGGCAAACAATTGCAAGTCTGTTTGTGGCTTCTGGCTCCAGATGCGAACCATTCGAGATACAGTGGATAACTGAAAGAAAAACCACTCCACCATAACCAGCTAATAATACTGGACTCCTGTTTTCACAACAATACCCTATTGAAATGACGCTTTTCTTCCTCTAAGCTTGACTCAGCATTTTAGCCACAGAAGACAGGGCAGCATCTAGATTTTCTTGGTTGGCACAGCAGTTCTAATTTGAGCCATGTCTGCTCAATAAACTCACTTTAAATGAAGATATTTTTAGAAAGTGTCAATACTTGAGTCCAAACTACCCAATTACATAACTGTCCTTATCTTTCTTCACCCGTAATCAGTCCCTATTATTAGGCAGACTTCTTTTTCCCCTTTTGCTCTCCTTTGTAGTTAGTTGGAAGGAAGTAGAAGCTCTGTTTTTAAGAAGACAGTTACTTACATGTTGCAAAAGGCACGACTGAGTTTCTCCTGGGGGTTTAAATATTTTTCTGTGAAGCAGCAAATTAGGGGTTTGGTACAAGAAGCTGGAAAACGTTCACATTTCTGCCGTGTCTTTTTCAAACAACAATTTTGCTGCTCGCTGCTGCTTGTCGAGTGCTTGATCCTCACTTTGCACCTTCGACTTAGTGTGGAGGAAGCCGGAGCAAGGGGGATCAATGGGAAGTGTTACCCAAGAAGTGGTTTTGGGCCTGGGGAAGAGACATTGGTCGCTTTGCTCGCCTTCAGTGTGGTGGCAGGTGAGATGCAGGGCTGTGGTGCTCTGCGTTCGCTCTTGAGCTCTGGGCTGCTGGAGCCGTAAGGGAAAATGCAACTTTTCAATCAGATTTATGCAACTTGGGTATTTGTGATGAAAAGCAGCTGGCATGGGAATGAGAGCCTACGGCTGGGCGTTACTGCCTTCCCAGCGGCCGTCACGAGTACCTGAGGAGGGCTACAGGGAGATTTTGAATGGAGTTTTTTTAAAATACACATCTTTTTCTTGATACTTCTGTGGCTTGGCAGGGGTTGTTAAATAACCAGTTGCAGTCTCTGCAGCTTCACCAGCTTAAAAGGTTTGTTCCCTGCACCCAGCCAGACATGGATTGTTTTGCAGAGTTTCGTGATCAGGTGTCTGTCCAGCCTAAGATCCTCTGTACAGGAAGTGCAGAGATGGGAACAGAATTATTGAAATCTTTTTTTCCTTACCTGGATCTTTCCTTTCCCCTCCCCACTGTTCTTCCCAGCACCCCTAAAGTCTGAACTCTGAGCCATGGAAAGGGAGATGAGATGTGAGCTGCTTCCCCAGGCGAGCTCACGGCTGACCTCTCCTCTGAGTTTGGCAGCTTCTGGTCAATTCAGCGAGCTCGTTGGGGCTTTTCACTGATGAACCGGTACAGAACTGGTGTAACAGAGTCACGTTGGACCAGTGAATGATGACAGTCACGACCAGCTCTGGGCCGTAGAGTGTGGTGTGAAAAATGGAGCTGTAATACTACCAGTCGTTTCTTCCAGAGGCCGTTCTGAAGAGCCATTCAGAGCTGGGAGCCTGTTTCTCACCGTTGACTAGAGGTGTTGGAAGTCAGCAGTCTCGTACGCTGAGTGTTGCGGCTGTCACCGTAGCTGTGTACTTTTTGAGCAGTGGGAATTTTTTTTGGTAAAAGAAAATACCCGTGGATGCCTGCCCGCTCCGCGTCATCCGAGAAAAACATCCTTGTAAAGATTGCTCCTCTTTCTTAAACTTCTGATTTGTTTTCCAGGTCTTTCGGTGTTGTCCTCTGGGAGATCGCGACCTTAGCGGAGCAGCCCTACCAAGGCATGACCAATGAACAAGTGCTCCGCTTCGTGATGGAAGGAGGGCTGCTGGAAAAACCGGACAATTGTCCTGACATGCTGTAAGTGGCGACAGTTTCCTCCATTCTCGGAGTACAGTTTGGTCTTCCCGATCCCTTCAGTGCCTGCTTCTGCCCTGTCAGCCCCAGGGGGGTTACTGAAGAGTGAGGTAAGGGGAGGTGCTGCTTGAGCAGGCTCTGTGAGGTCAGGAGTTGGACACACCAGAAACCAACTTTGCTTGTGGCCAGCATCTCGCTGTGGGCTGTGTCTGCTAATAAGGAAACTAAACCCAACCTTTGTGTTCCTGAGACTTAATACAAGTGACATTGGCTACAGCAGAAGGCTTTGTGCCCGAGTCCTGTCTCTTCTCCCTAAAGCAATTCTGCTGAGCATAAAGAGAAGAACGAGCATCGGAGAGCCGACGCGTGTTGTGCGTAACTGCGGGATTCAGGCTCTTCGTTCAGCCAACAGAGAACGAACGTATCGTTCCTTTGGCTGAAGCAGCACTTGATCTGCTGGTTCGGTCACGGCGCTCCTCACGCTGAGCAGACAAACACATCTCCCCTGCTAAGCACAGAGAGCCGTAGTGGAAGAGCCTTTCCCTGCCCCCGGAATGCACGCGCAGCCCTGCGGCGGAGGGTGCGCAGCGCAGCAGGCTTCACGCTTTAGCTTTACATTGTTGAAATACTTCTGCTGGCTTTTGTGTACAGCAGTTTGAGTTGTTCAGCCTTCCTTACTTTGATATACTTCCCAAATTGGCTTTTGGGGAGGAAACACTGCCTCTTGCCGTTATTGAAATTTGTTGGAGGCCCACAGAAGGGATACAATCACTTAAGGGCCTCAGCTGCTTGGGATTCTTAGGAAAAGAGCTTTTTTGGCTGGAGCGCTGGCTTGGGTTTCAGATGACAGGCAGTGTTGTTTTGTTGTTTGAGGGGGGTGGGTGGTATATGCGGGGGGAGGTGGAGCTGCCATGTGATTCCTCCGTTTCACATTCTTTCCCTTCCACGATGCTGTGGAGAATTTCTGGCAGTCAGATTGACTGGAGATTGTTTAACACGGTCAGAGCTGTGTGATGCAGGGGGGGAGTAGGCAGAAATTGGGAAGGAGAGGATGTGTGAAGGGGTCGGCTCCCTGAGTCCGTTGGGATAAAATGCCTCTGAGGTGAGAACAGGCTCGGCGAGGGATTCAGCGTTAATCATCCCCGTTAACCTGGGGCACGTGAGGTGTGAGCAGAGGGGTGGGAGGGGAGTCACAGCAAGCAGCTCTTCACTGCAGTCCACCCAGCCCCTTCTCCTGCCTCCTCCCCGATACTCCTCTGCTGCCTGGGGGCTGCTGCTGGGTGAATCCACCTGCAGGGTAACTGAGCTGGGAGACGTTGGGTAATGCCTGTCACAGCGGATCTGGGTACCAGTGTATAACAGCAGAGGCCTTTTTTGTGCTGGTTCTAATGAAGAAGCTGTTCACATGTTAGTTTTGGACACCGAGGCTTCAGCCTGATGGTGCAGAATAAAATCTTCCTTTGCTTTTATCCGCTCTTCTCCATCACAAGGAACAGGGCTGAACTTGGACACATCCCGTGTAGTGCTGTCTTATTTTTTTGGTGATACAGCTGTGTATAAACATCCCAACTGTCAAAAATACCAAAAAAAAAGGAATGTATTGACCGTAGAAGCTTACGGTGAGTTGCCTTAACTCACTTCCTGC